TGTACAGAGAGGAGAGAGACCCCCAAACTATGTACAGAGAGGAGAGAGACCCCCAAACTATGTACAGAGAGGAGAGAGACCCCCAATCTATATACAGAGAGGAGAGAGACCCCCAAACTATGTACAGAGAGGAGAGAGACCCCTCACCTTTATAGCCCCCCATTTATAGTGAATCCAGTGTATATAGAGACCCCAATATATAGAGGGGTGTCCAAATATCTTGCCGCACTCCTTACCAGATAACCCAAAGTTAAGGGGTGCTGGTAGTGACTGCAGAGGGCACCCCAATCATCTCTGAGCCTGATGAAGGGGACCCGTGCGCCCCAAAATTTGAGTGACATTTATCAACAAAATTGCACCGACATGGAACTCTCCTGCTGGTGACATCTTTATTCTAGTTCCAAAATATAGAGGGACCCCCATTTATAGTGACCCCGATATACAGAGGGACCCCCATTTATAGTGACCCCGATATACAGAGGGACCCCCATTTATAGTGACCCCGATATACAGAGGGACCCCCATTTATAGTGACCCCAATATACAGAGGGACCCCCATTTATAGTGACCCCGATATACAGAGGGACCCCCATTTATAGTGACCCCGATATAAAGAGGAACCCCCATTTATAGTGACCCCAATATACAGAGGGACCCCCATTTATAGTGACCCCGATATACAGAGGGACCCCCATTTATAGTGACCCCGATATACAGAGGGACCCCCATTTATAGTGACCCCGATATACTGAGGGACCCCCATTTATAGTGATCCCAATATACAGAGGGACCCCCATTTATAGTGACCCCAATATATAGAGGGATCCCATATATAGAGGGACCTCATTTATAGTGACCCCGATATTTAGCGGGACACCCATTTATAGTGACCCCAATATATAGAGGGACCCCATTTATCGTGACCCCCCGATATACAGAGGGACCCCATTTATAGTGTCCCCAATATATAGAGGGACCCCCATTTATAATGACCCCAATATACAGAGGGACCCCA